TGTGTGCGTGTGTTGCCTGGTTCATTATCATCCGCAGCCCGCACCTCGAGACTGCGTTGCCCGGCTGGCCCGGGGTTAAGACAGGGACCATGTGAGAGGACTCCCCAGAGACAGAGTGGGGAGCAGAACAGGCAGATCTACTGAGATACACTGCGGAGTAGGGCAGAGGGGAGACAGGAGAGGTCTGGTGTGGCCATGTGGGTCGCTCCCTGGCAGGGAACTGAACTCGCGTTGCAGTGGCTGCAGAGAGCTTCACAGTACTGCGCTGTAACCCCTCGGGCCACCAGGGAGGGCCTCACCTTGTTTATTTTAAAAGGCATCTCCATTGTGTTCTCTTTGTCAAACTCCTCACTCCATCGGCCTTTGAAGTAGATGGCATTGACAAGAACCATCTTCGTGTGGGCACTGATCGAGTCGCTCTGCAACAGCTCTTGAATTTTACCTTCCAAGAGAAACACAGCACATTCTGTTATTTTTATAAACACGCAACAAGGCTTCTTAGCAGATTTGAGATTATCAAGCAAGAACCAAACACTTTTCAAGTTTGCAGTGTTTAGATTCTTTTTTTTAAAGACTTATTTATTTTTATGCATACAGAACTGGGTACCAGCCAGAGGTGCAGGAGCAGTGAGAGGCTTCAGAAGAGACAGAGTGGGGAGCAGAACAGGCAGATCAATGAAGTACACTGCTGGGGGGAGCAGCGGGCGGGTCAGGAGAGGTCTGCTGCGCTCACCTCGGGCTGGGGATCGAACTCGCAGTGCTGCGTCCCAACCCTCTGCACCACCATGGAGTGCCCGGGTGTTTGAATTCTTATGCATGGAAATCAGAAACAGCTCGTACAAGTTGTGAGGTCACCAAGAGCTGGAGAATATCCACAAATGTTGGGGAGGGATTCCTGGTTACTCAAGGAAAACCACTGCAGCAGGTCTTCGAACAAGTCAGGCCGGAAAGAGCCCCCAGGAGGAGGCTTGTTATTGGGGGGGTCCAAGGTCACCCCCAAGCTGTCCGTCCACAATCACATTGGGCAGTGGAGGAGGATGAGGGGGCTTCAAAGGGGGAAAGTGACCATGGAGAATATGGGGTACTGTGGACGTCTGCAAGCTTCAGAAGATTTTATTTATTTGCACCTCTAAACAAAACACCAAGAGATTCCTGCAGAAGGCTGAAGGGAAAGATGGTCCCTCTCTCTGCATGCCAGGTGCTACCTTTCAGAGAACTCGGCGTACTCTGATTCGCTGTATCATGACGACTATTCCCAGAAGAAATGGCACAATAACTAAATCTTTAAGGAAAGGCAATTTCTTTTAGTTTTTGTTTAGAAATCTGGGGCCCTCCCTGATGGCGCTACAGATTAAAGCGCAGCACTGCGAAGCTGTCTGCAGCCACTGCAGCCTGAGTTCAATCCCCGGCCAAGGAGATGACCCACAGGGCGCAGCAGACCTCTCCGCCTCTCCTGACCCACCCTCTGCTCCTATCTGCAGTGTGTTTCAGTAGATCCATCTGTTCTGCTCTCCACTTTGTCTCTGGGGAATCCTCTCACCCCTGCATCTCTGGCCTGTACCCAGGATCTTGTATGCAAAAATAAACAAATCTTAAAAAAGGAACTCTAACACCTATTTAATGTTGTCACTTATATTGTTGCGGTAGCATTGATTGACAGTTATCGGGCCACTGGGACCCCCGCCCAAGGCTGGGCCTGGAGAGGAGAACCACCTGTGAGCCCACAACATCACCCCCATGGGGCTGCAAACCCCCAGGACGTAGATTTCAGAAAGTCATTAAGCTTTT